AAGAGCCGAAACTCCACCTTTCATCCCCAGTCCTGACTCTTGATTGATTAGTTCATCATCAGAAATTCTGAATATTCGTCAGTGAAGTGTCTTTGTCATCTCACAGTTGTGTGTATAACGTATGAGATGACGAGAAACCGAGTGCGGGTCTTCCCCATCCCCTCGAAACCCCACGTGGGATCAGTTTGCAACGTTTAGAAGACACGCGTGTCAGTCCGTTTGTGCTACAGTGCTACCAGTGACCACATTCATCCCATGTTGCTCATCTGTCTATCCGCGAATCACGAACCAAAAGCAAACCAACATGTAATTAAATGCACGGCGAACGCATATACTCATAATAAGACATACCCAGGAAGTCGTGAGCATAGCCTCTCGCAACTTTTGAAGAACCTGCTCAGTCCACGTTGCAATCACACTCTGGCAGACGGGCACACGATTCCCCATATATTTGCGCAAGCCTTCATCAAACCGTCTGCTCGTCATTCCCGATCCCAGACATCGCTCTCAGGAGACCCAGAGCCGTGCTTTCACTCTCCAAAGCTTGAACAAGCTCATCCCCGTCCAGTGCTGTTCAGTGTCGTCATGGTCCATCTATCTGGCCCTTAACCTCTATTCACCCGCGACGCAGCTTACGCAGCCCCCGCACTCCCTCATCGCGGCTCATCATGCATCCCTTGCGCTTCTTCCCGAAAGCTGTTCTGGGTGTTTCCCGACCCTTGACCCCTGACATTGACTAGCATTGTTGATTTTGAATGCTTCGGCCGTTTCTAGATGCATCAAGGCAGGTGTGCAATGCGCTTCATATATACTGTTCCCAAGTGATCACTACGGACGAATTTTGTCTTCACCTTGGTCATGCCACAGAACGAATGCGGCCCTAGGCCAACTGCGAGTCTTTGACTATACAAACATATTCATGGGTCAGGGGCTAAGCGTTGACGAAAAGTTTCCCGAAATTTGACAATTCTCTCCATCTACCGTCAATGTATGATCGGGAAACAGCCTACCAGGTTACTCCGCATCACCTCCATGTTTCTTTCTTGTGAATTTATACTGCATACATTTTGATAGTACATTGATATACCAGATGGATGTAGCCTACGATATACATGATACTAGATACAGAGGGATTTAGTACATAATTATACAGGTTTAGTGAATCATGAGTGCTGCCCGCGGCCCCCGCAGGACCCCCAAGGCCATTACGACACGAGATGCCTGCTTTCTCTCGTGGAGCCTCTTACGCCAATGCCGCATCCGTCGACATGCTGCTGCCGCCAGCGTTGTGATCATCGTCGGAGGGCTCAACGTCGTCCGCCAATCGCCCAATCATCTCCTCGTACGTTGGGTGGAATGGCCATGCCATGAAGGCCTCCATCAGCTCCATCCACTGCTTCTCGCTCAGGACTCTAGAACAGAGCTCCGCGTGCCCCGTTCCAGTCAGGCCGCCCTGGTCTGGGTCCCGCAGGCTGGGGCAGTGCAGCAAGATGCCCTCCGCCGCCCCGGGCCAGATGCGCTCCAAAGACTTGCTGACGGGCTCCAGGCCCTGTGCCAGCATAGAACTCCGGAACAGCTCAAACATGTCGCCCGCTCGCGAGGTGCCCGGCCCGGACTGCCGGAGGAGCGGATACATCGCTTTGGGCTGGATATCTAATAGACAACACTCGACGTTGGGGAAGAATTCGTTGGGGCTGACGGCGAGCGGCTCGTAGGGTCGCCTGTCCCAAAGCATCACCGGCGGGTCTTGCCGAAAGATGTGCAAGTTGTCCCGGATGACGCGGAAGTCGATGAGGAAGTTCTTCCCCATTGACGAGACCTTGGCCTCCCACGCCTGTTCGCGCTCTCTCAGCTCCGCGTCCGGGATGGCTTTGGTCGCACGCAGTCGGCTGAGCTCGTACATCTCCGCTAATAGAGCCGTATTGCTCTCGGCGTCTTCCTCTTGTGTTTTTAGTGTGTGCCGCAGGAATTTCAGGCGCTTGAAAGACTTTGATGTATTCGACGTGTCCATGGTGCCGGCCGCCAACTCGTCTTCGAGTTCCTTCAGCTCCGTCACGTAGGGCCGGCTGAGATGCGGCGTTTGCACGCCTGCGTGGCGCCCAGGGCCGATAGCTCCTCGTTCGGCCTGCGTTGTAGACTCCAACTTCCGTCCCTCTGGCATCTCCAGCCCGTTATCTTTCATCCTTTCCAGTGCATCCCTTGTGCTGTCGATATCGATCCATCGATCGCGAACGTGCCAGACGTCCCTCTTGGAGTCCGAATTCGAATGCGCCTCCGTGCCGGCCACTACGCCGAGCCACTCGCACGCAAACTCGGCCTCAATCGCCGACTTGCGCCGCCCTTGAATGTTCCTTGCCAGGAACGAGCGCTGATCGTCGTTGTTGGCCCACACCAGCATGCGCACGAGGCCGTACTTTTGGAAAAGTGTGCCGGTGCGGATGCTGCTGATGAGCTGAAAGAGCACCATCGCGGCGACGCTATCAAAGTTGCGATACCGCTTCTTGGGGAAGAAGGAGAGGTTCGCCGTCACAAGGAGGGTGTCGTTGCGCGTAGGCTCGATGCCAGGGCCCCTTGGCTTAGGGACCTGGTTCTGAATATGGCCGAGCACCTCGTTCAGCTCGTTCCAGAGGATTCCGGACTGAGGTATCAGTTGTGTATTTGGGTTTTCGAGTAGCGGCTCAAGGAAGGGTCGATAAACATCCTCGTCGGGTTCCATGAGGATGTGGGTGCGCGGCTGGAGGACCTCTGAGAGCTTGCGACTCCAGACGCCGGCGCCCGGGTTGATGTCGACCAAGTCGCAGCCAACATGTCTTTCGAGTGTAGGACCTATGTATTTGAGGATATCATCTGGTGGCGATCCCAATTAGCATCTTGGTCGGTAATGCGACTGAGTACCGACATTACGGACGCACCGCACAGCTTCTCGTCCACGATATTGACACGCGACTTGTCGCCCTTTGCCTTTTTCTTCGGCTTGGCTTTCTTTGCATCAGTACTACTCTTTCCCGCCTTCTTGGAACGTGATGGCATCGACCAAAGTCCCGTTTCAGCCAGCCTTGACGCCGTCGGGGTTGTCTCCTTCAGAACGGTCTGGGCGATCGTGGCTTTCGTTGCGGCAGCACGTCTACCGGGTGTCTGCGCAAGACATTGTAAGGGAGGACGCCGCGCCCACGTGCGACGCAAGCAAAGCAGCATTTGGGTATGATAACGGAAGTCCGTGGTGCGAGACGTGCATTGGGGGGGCTTCAAGAGAAACCCGAGTGTCGCAATTCAGACAGCAAATATTCTGCCGACGATTACCGCCAGCTTCGGGTCCGCCGAGCTTATCGATAAGCACTCCACTCGGTCCCGTAGTGGGGCCGAGAATTCAATGGAAGTTTTTCGGCTCCGCACCTTCGGATGAAAGACCTGAACATATGGAATGGCCTTTCTTGAAGAAGCTGTGTGTGATCTAGAAACGCCAGACTTCAAGGCTAGTTTTCATGCATTTCTGCGTGATCTTTCATAGTACTATGCAAGGAAGTCACGCTAGTCCAAGAAAACCCGGCCAACCTCGCTTGCCCCTCAGTTCAACCGGAGAGCATAGTGTTTGAGGAAGCCTCTAAGAGAATCTTGCTACCGGCATAAGGACAATTGGCACGTTATCAATCATTCACATCCATTCAATGACAATTCGTGCGCAACCTATCACGTGGGAAAGTTTGCTATGACGGAGAGAGAACATTGTGATAATTGACGAGCAACTGGGCAAATTGGTTATCAACGTTTCTCTAGTGTACTTTAAACGGCCCAACGTGCGTGGTGTGTCTAACTCTAGCCGCCACTTGCAAGGGTCACTGAGTAGAGTGGTTGGTCAATTCTCGAGGAGTTCCTTTTTCGAGTCCTGCAAAAACTTCCAGAAAAGCCAGCGAATAGCCTGTCAAAGCTGAAGGGCCAGAAAAGACTAGCTTGAGACTAGCAATGCACCTAGCATGATGCAAGGCATCAGCGGAGAGAGAGATTCTAGACCAACCTGCCGGGACGGAGCATCCGGGGACCATTTAATGAGATGCGACGGGAGTCTAAGATCTTACCTAGTGTAGACGTACGGAAGCTGATTATCCCAATGATTCGTGAACCATAGGGACGATCTTGCATCGCCTCAGTGCATTGCCAAAGATGCTTAAGGATTCAATGGTGCGACATGCAACCCTCCAAAAGACGTCTTCATCACGCTAATAAGTGCAAGGCAACAATGACAGATGATCTTACGGGATCTCTACGAAATCGTGGTCTCGCCGAGGATCTCATCACCAATCAACGATCTGACACATCAGGAATCAAAGACAGCCTCTAGGCTGAACTGCGTGGTGAAAACCTTGTCAGCTCAGTCAAAAATCTGCCCAAGCGTATTATGATTTATGATTAGCGTGCCCAGCGTGTCAGCAAAGTCTGTCTTTCATGGAATTGCTATCATTTTCTTCTAGTTTTCTCGAGACCTTGTTTCACTCCGAAGTCCGAGACGAGATGGCATCAAACACTCGATGTCAAGCTTGTGATGCACGCAGCTTCCCTAGTATCGACTAGTCCCCGTCGGGAGGCTTGGTCACTCAAATAATTGTGGTGGCCAATGATTACTCACATCGTGCGGGGCGACCGAGGATTACTATCCCAGATTTTGGGAAGGTATTTCTTTTTTTGATGTGAATGGCATCCTTGCATTGATTCACCGAGGCCTGGCCCCCTACGCGAACATGATCCAAGAGTTCGCTCGGTTGCCTCAAAACATGTTGCCGGATGGCGTCTTCTGTATTCTTTATGTTTGAGCTTCGACCCTGACGTGTGATGGGGTAGTGGAAGCGAATATGTTTCTTTTTCCCAAAAAGACTTGACATCTTCATCGGAAGCGGAAAATCTGCCTTTTTAATCTAAGATGAGCCCCGACAGTGAAAACCACTGACGTGAAAAGTTTCCGGTCTGCCATTTTTGTTTTCTCCAGCGTCCTCACGTATCTCCGCACAATGAGCTCGAAGAGTCTAGCAGGCCTTTCCGGGCGAAATGCCTCCTCTACGGCGCCATTCGTGATTGACGTTTCAAAAGACCCGGCGCCTAGGGTCGTCGCTTCGATATGGGCTATGATTTCGGTATCGACGGTCTTTCTGTTCTGTCGTGTTTACTGCAAAAAGATCAGATCCCGTGGCTTGTGGACAGATGACTATCTCTTGGTGGCGTCTTGGGTAAGAGACTTGTTGGACCGTTGGAGGAGCTTTCATTGCTGACGATCCATCTCTGGAGATATTCCTGCTAGTCTCGACGTCTCTCACCACAGAGCTTATGAGACTCGGGTTTGGAAAGTCCCTAGATTTCTCAGCCCATATTTTCACTCTGTCGTCTGTCAACGTCGTCATGAATAAGGTCGCCTTGGCCCTCAGCAAAACGTCCTTTGCAGTCACAATGTTGCGCATTGCGTCTGGAAAACTGAAGGTTTTCATTTGGTTTCTGATCATATCCATGAACGCAGTCTTGGCAACCAGCGCTGTTGTCGCTTGGAAGGCGGCCTGCGACAGGCCGTCAGACTCTTATGAAGCTGTCCTACCCGGATCCTGTTGGCGAGTGGAGGATTCGGTCATTATGCACATGGTGTCGAATGGTGAGCAACAGATGAATTGAGCTGAATATTTGCAAATAGCAAGTTGACATGATATTTCAGCATACTCGGCACTGGTTGACTTCATCTTGTCGCTGCTTCCATGGCCAATGATATGGAGACTAGGCTTGAAGCGCCATGAAAAGATTGGCGTTGCTGTAGCTATGAGCCTCGGTGTCATTGCAGGGTTAGTCGGGGTGATCAAGGTCATCAAAATCGTGACTATTGCCGAGGGCGCAGATATACCATGTGAGCATCGGAATGGTTTCCCGGTACCCACGTGGATCTATCTAATCATTTTACAGATCGTCTATCTCTGCTCTTTATATGGGGACAAGCCGAGATCAACGTCACAATCGTTGCGTCATCTATCCCCGTTCTGCGAGTCCTTTTTACGGAGATGTACGCAACGTCGAGATCGGACGAGAGAAATGGATACTTGAAGTCGGATGGACAGAGTGCCTTTCCAACAGAAATTGGCATGAATACTCTAGAGGAGGGAAGGAAGATAGAAGAAGAGACGAACCGGAATGTTCTGCTCGCCATGGGTCCATCGACGGCCACCAACTCCGCCATGAGAGCTCACGAGACTGAGATTGGATACAATGCAATGGACGAGATTACGCAGGGAACACATAAGCACACGTTGAGGAACTCTGAAAGCTACGAGGGAATTGAGTTAGCGAGAGCCCTGAGGTGACAGGGAAAAGCTTGTTGATCGAGATATGCAATAGCCATTGAGCAATAGACTCGGATAGCACACGCAGTTGTATTCATTTCGCCTTCTTTTGTCGACATTTAGCCTACTAAGTATCTATGATCCAGGGTCGATGTCTAAGCGCAAAAATCCTGAATCACGGTCTCCATCACCGATGCCACTTCCCGGATGCTCTCCACGCTCACCCATTCCTCCTTGCCATGGATCCCAAAGCTTTTGGGACCATAGACAACCGATGAGATACCGACCTCGTTCAACAATGCAGCGTCGCACCAAAAAGAACATGCAACAGGCTCTTGCGCCTCACCTAGACACTTCGAGGTAGCAGAGACGAAGGTCTTGATGAACTCATCGTCAGGGCTTTGCCCAAGCGGAGGCCGCGAGAAGGTCTTTCGAGGAGCAGCATATTTGAAATCCGGATTGGACTTGGCGATACTGCTCAAGATGCTCTCAATGTCTTCAAGGATCCTCTCTGTAGTCTGTGCCGGAATGGTTCGAAACTCAACGGTCAAAGTGCAGCGTTCCGGGTAGCTGGAAGGCTCTTCGCCACCCTGAATGAGGCCGGCATGCAAAGATGCCTTCCCCAGTCGAGAATCGGAGGGAAGTGACTTTGAGTACTCAAGGAGTGCCGTCTGCACGGCGCCTGCGAGCAAGATGGCATCTACACCATCCTCGGGCCTAGATCCATGAGCCGCAACGCCGAGGATGTCGATTTCAACCCAAATGAATCCCTTATGAGCGATCGCCATCTCCTGGTTTGTAGGTTCCGGTATGATGGCAGCATCGGCCCTCCATCCGGCCCTGATGACCTCTTCCGTGCCTATGGAGAAGTTCTCCTCGTCCGCGACTGCGGCGAGAATGACATCGCCCCGTAGAGGAGAGTGTGATGTAGAGCTGCATCGAGCCATTGACGCCATGGCAGCTGCTAAGCCAGCTTTCATGTCCGCGCTTCCACGACCATAGATTCGTCCTCCGTCCTCCTCCTTCAGTTCTCCACTTAGAGGATCCAGGTCTGGCGAGTAACTCGAAAGACTGACGGTGTCAACATGCCCGTTGAGCATGATGGACTTTCCTCCTCCTGTTCCGCGGAGTACACCGACCACGGAAGGTCGGCCTTGCCTCTCTTCCAGCCAGTGCGCTTCAAAGTTGCGATATTGCAACCACGCAGAAATGTAGTGCGCAATCTCGCCTTCGCCGGCACCTGAAGCCTTGGATAAGTCTGGGTTGGAAGAGTCGATTGACGTGAGGATCTGCGTCAACGTGACCGGGTCATCCGTGGACACGTCCAACGGGATCTTGTAGTTCCGTGGACCCTCTGTATTGAGTAATACCACGACAGCGTCTTTGGAAAGACAGGTTGGGCGTGGGCTTACTCCGGCAAGCCGCCGGAGCGCTGCGACAGTGGCACCTCCACACGGCCCGCTGTCCACCCCCTTCGTCTGGAGATACTTCACGGCCTCATGGGCTTCGAAGTCCGAGACTGTAGCACTGGCATCAATGCCTGCACGAAGATCATCGAACGCCGTCAGAGAGACAGTGCCGCAGTTGAGCCCTTCCATGATGGTTCTCGAGGTATGAACCGTCACTGGTTTACCGGCCGTCAGGCTCGTCCATAGACACGGAGCGGTATCGGGTTCGACGGATAGAACTGCGCAATCTCGTCCATCAGACTTGCAGTGAGACACGACGGCATGCGCCAGAGATCCAACGCCGACTGGAGTCACCATCAAAGTCGGCTTCAGCCCGTGTTCGGCCACCTGCTGCTCGGCCTCGCGAACGAGGGTGGAGTAGCCCTCGACAATCCAAGCAGGAATCTGCTCGTACCCCACGAAAGCATTGTCTTGAATCAAGAGACCGCCCTTGACTGACTTTGATGCTTGCCAGGCTTCCAAGACAGCGTCGTTATAGTGGGAGTTGCTCACGATGACTTTGGCGCCCTCAGAAGCGATGTTGGTGATCGCCTCACCGGCAACACTGCTGGGAACGTAGATGTGCGCAGGGATGCCTAGAATCTTGGCCATGGCCGCAACGGCTCTACCGTGATTTCCCTCCGTAGCTGCGTAGAGGGAAAGGTTGTTCGTTTGTGCGGCCTTCGCGACGTCGGCGAGGGGCGTGTCGATGGACAACTGTAGATGAGTCGTGATGGCGCGGTATGTTCCCCATGATGCGCCCAAAATCTTGAAGGATGGAAGTCCTAGCCTATTGCTCTCATCTTTTATGTAGACTGCTTTCACGCCTAGTTCCTGGGCGATATCCTCGAGAGAAACGAGAGGGGTTCTGGCGAAGGCGGGCAGCTGCTGATGGAATGCCTGTGCGAGAGATGCATCGGATACAGGCTTTATCGGCCCCGTGCTGTCATTGATGTACACGTTTCTGCGTGTGGTTGTCATGGTTGAGTACTATGATCCTGTCTTGATGCTAAAATTTAACTTGAATTGACGCGGAGAATGGCGAGAATGATGGAGGGAACTTGTCGTTTCTTATACGACATTTTGTATGAGGGCTTGTTAGATGTATATGGTACCAACGCAGACCGATCACCATTATTAGATAGCCATACTCGAACTTGAGGAGTTGTTAGGAGCATTGTTGAAGCGTGAATGTGGACTCCGTGAATCGTCAAGATGAGGGGCCGGGAAGTGGGGACGTCTGTCGGGGAAGGGCGCAAAAGGCGCGGGCTACGCCGAATAAGTGTTGACCGATCGATTCGCAATTGCTGCTTAATAAACAGTTCCGCCTCGACCAGGTGTTAGGACCAGCAAGTGACTCATATATCGCTCACCAGCTTCACTATTTAGACAGCCCGTATGAACGTGGGCCCGTTCTGACTGTCATTCAAGCCCTGTTGGCATACTTCATTTGCGTCTACCGTCTTGGCGATCCGCCCTTGAACGACACATCGATGGAGCTCCCTTACACCACGGTCGACGTCTTCACGGACAAGCCCTTTGAGGGCAACCCTCTAGCCATTGTCACGATCCCGGCCACGACATCCCTGACGCAGGGCCACAAACAAACCATTGCCAGAGAGTTCAACTACTCGGAGACAACCTTTGTGCACGAAGTCGACGACCCCGCATCCACGGAGCGCCGCTTCGATATCTTTACGCCGACCGCGGAACTTCCCTTTGCGGGCCACCCCACCGTCGGCACAGCCATCTTTCTCAAGTCCCGCGGCGTCAAGAAGCTGATTGCAAAGGCCGGACCCATTGAGATCGAAGAGACGGGGTCCGAGTCCGTACGGGCCGCTATCCCGCACAACACCCATCTTCACCAGAAGCGGCTGAGGGACCTTGGGCCCGGACCCTACAGCAATGCGACGGCAGAACTCGCCAACGCAGAGGTCGAAGCGCCCGTCTTTAGCATCGTGAACGGCATGACATTTGCTCTTGTTGAGTTGCCCTCGTTGGCATCGTTGGCGTCGGCAAAGATTGGGCCCATGGAGTTTCGGCAGCAGGAGCTTCTGGACGAAGGGTGGCGCAAGACGTTCATTTCGCGATACTACTTTGTGCGCCTTGGGGCCGAGACAATCGATGGACGTGTTGTGCACAAGATCAGAACACGTTTGATCGAGCCCGATCTGGAGGATCCTGCCACTGGTAGCGCAGCCTGCGCTCTCTCGAGCTACCTGAGTTTGCACGAGTTTTCTGAAGATTCCCTCAGCTTTGAGATCACTCAGGGAGTCGAGATGGGTCGTAGAAGCGACATTTACGTTGACGCAAAGCTTGGACGGGGCACGGATGGAACACGAAAGCTGGAGACGCTGCATCTTGGAGGAACGGCCACTAAGGTCATGAGCGGCACCATCTTCTTGAAGTCATGAACAGTCTGAGTAGCATATACAAGACGGCCATCAGCGTTTATGAACAATGTAGATGAATTTGTACATGAAGTGAAGCCGGTAGTTGTCTCACGCAGATACCCTGACTACGTTTCCTTTACCTCAAAGGTTGATGTTCAAGCCAAGAGTGTTGTTGAACGTGACGGTACCCCAGTAGGGCTCCTGACCAGCATTTCCGACATTGACGTAGGTGCTCTCGGAGAAGACGCCTTGCTTGGAGAGCGCGAGGAGCCAGTCCTTGATGTCTCCCTCGAAGGAGCCCTTCTCCAGGTCGCCATACTGGGTGGGAGCAAGCAGCGAAGACACGGTGATGCCGGTATCGGTGTTCTTGCCCTGGTACAGCTTCCACCCGTCCTTGCCAAAGAGCCCGTCGATCGTGGCCGTCGGGCCCTCGGCCCAGCCAATGGGCACCTGTCCGCCTTCCCAGCGGAGCCAGAGCATGAGCTCCTGGGCGTTGCTGGACGTGCTGTCGCCTTTGGTGTCGGAGGTCATGAAGTCGTAGACGACGTTGCCTTTGTTGGTTGGGTTAGTACGGGCGAGTACCGCTAGGTTGAACGTGATGCAAAGTAGAAGCCCTACTTACCCTTGTAGGCCGAAGAGTTGGAGACAGTCCAGCTGTAGGTGCTGGGGATGCTCTGAATGTCACTGAGCTTGGTCTCGAGGTTCTGGGTCAGGCCGATGAAGGAGTATCCCTTGACGACGTCCTTTTGGTACGTGGGATCAATGTCCCAGATGCTGCTCCATTGGATTCGTTGCGCGTCGCCGGACCCGGACGTGCCGTAGTAGCCGGTGCAAGCCGATCCCTTGATGGCCTGGTAGGCGTAGTTCATCGAGTAGACGATCCACGGAGTGCCCATGAGGACCTCATAGTCGTTGGGGGCACCGCAGAAGGTCTTTTCGGCGACCGCGGCGGACGCGAAGACGGCCGGGGCCAGGTAGCGAGTGAGATGCATCGTTGCTAGTTGGATTTGCTAGGATTGAGACGCTGTAAAGACCGTGTAAAGCAACCCGCCAGTGGTGCGAAAAAGAATGACAGTAGGAGTTGGAATGAATGTTGGAATAGGATTACATTTGGGCCGCACGGAGTATGTCTTGCTATTATCTATCAAGTACATACATACTTCATTCTGAATGGCGAAACGGAGTCTTGCCTCCTCCCCCTTGCCGAGAAGTTTTGATGAGATTTCGTGGAGAACGCAGGGGCATCTAATTAAGCAGAGAAAGCAGACCATAAAGCGGTTGTAAATACCGGACCATATTGCACTTGGTCAATCTGAAACCGCCCGTCGATTGCAACACCCCGGCCCGGACGGGAAATAATTACACGAACTGGGCCCCCATCGAAAGGCGGAACAGCAGTTTACATCGCCTAGTAAACTAACCAGAGTGGACGCAGCTTTATGTTAAGAGCAATATCCCACTATTTAACTCCATCGTTTTGCATTACTAGAGGATTACCGCAGTACATATAGACGCTACCCTGCCCTCGAATTCCGTACTATTTAACCTTAACCCTTTTTTTACCTATCCTTTTTTTTATTTTACCCTCTTTTTTATTAAAAGATCGTTAGAATCGTAGTTTTAATAGCTTATTAATAAACTAATATTATTATTTAAAAATAAATAACTTATATTTATATATAAGTACTAAGAGTTTTATTATTATAAAATAATAATAAATATACTAAAATATTTAAAAGAGCTTTTTAATAAACTTTTAATACTATTTAAAGTTATAATTTTTAAGTTATAAAAAAAGCCGAAGTATTATATTAATACGGCCCTATTTATTTTATTAATACTAATAATAGTCTTTTTAATATAAAATATATTACTAATATTTTATAATTATATTACTACTTTTTATAAATCGTACTTAATATTAAAAAAGATTTTAATATTATTTCTTAATTTATTTTTTAGTTTTTTTATTAAAGCTGTTATTATAGGATTAGTTTAGTTATTAATATTTTAATAAGTATTTTAACTTAACTTAGAGGCTCTTATAGCCCTTAAAAAAAGGCTTTTAAAGGATTTATAATTAGACTTTTTATTTATTATAAATAAAGCTATTATAATTAAAGCTATAATATTATAAACCTCGATAATAAGTAGTTAATAATATAATTATCTTTTTTTTATAATAAGCTTAAAAAAGTATTTTAATTTAAGTACTAAATAGGTACTATATTATTTTATTAAAATTATATTCTTATATTTATAACTTAGAAAGAATTAACTTTCTTTAATAATAAGGTACTTAGAGAGCAATATCCGCATCTGTACACTTTGATATGACCCCCGTCCAGCTACTTAATAATCTCGCCATCTGGAGCAGTCTCAAGTCCAGCCCGCGAACCCAAAGACGTCGGATTGTGCCACGGTGGGCCTTAGAGAGGTTCATTAGTTGTCAGCTTGATTGTGGAGCCGCGTCAGCTGCGGGTTCTAGACTTTTTGCATGGGAATAACGCCGGGAAACAAATCTATTCATCGGATTCCTTGGGTGGGGGAGACGAGTGTCGCTGGAAGGACCGTGGTTGTGCTCATTTCGATGATGTTGACCGACCGCCTCGAGTGAGTATGTAGGTTTTCTCGCATTCGACCCGCCATAGTGTGTTGGGGCACCTACTGTGGTAGGAGATGCACTCATGTACGGCATGGTTCAGCTCGATAGCAACTGGGCAGAATCCGGCTGGGGCGGACATTTGCGAGGGGCGAAGCTTAGGGTGGTGGAGGCGGCCAAAATCCATGCATCGTGTCAATATGCATCCTAACAACGCCTGTCGGAGGATCAAAAGGAGGGGTGTTTTGTTAGGTCTAAACGGTGTCTGACAAGCATGACTAGTGAGAATTGTGAAGCTATTCGCAACTTGTTTGTGCACTCACCGAACCTGCTGTCTCGTTCCTCACCGTCTCGTTACTACTTACTCTCCCCTCACTGTTCCACTTTGTTAGTGACAAACTCATGAGTTATCATCGAATTAGTAAGCTAGAAGAAACAAAATCTTCTGGAGAATGGATACAAGTGGGCACAGACCCAGCCAAGCCCAGGTGTTGAGAGCTGCGGGCTCCTAAATCAGTGGACGCGGGAAAACCAGCACGACGCCGTCCAACGCATCCATGGTCCGATCGTTGAGTTCTCATGACACCCTGAATGCCATTTTGGTGGGTTGGCCATCGGGGGACAGATCAAATGGCCGCCGTATGCCACTGCCAACTGGTCAAGTTGCACCCGGGATACTGGCTTGCATCTGGCAATTGGCGTGGATGCCGAGCGGCTCCGGGGCAAAAAGCGGAATAGCGGCGGAAAGTCAATGGACACGGGCAGGGGGGTTCAGAGCTCCAAGCTGGGGTGTCTACGGTTCAAGACATTCGAGTCAGTGGAATCGAGTGCAAAAGAAGGTCGCATTGCCGGACCCAATATGACGGTATGAGTGGACATTGCGTCATGTCGACGCTCTTCGAAGCTTCGGAGCTTCGAAAACCCCACGATTGCTTTGAAATCTTTTCTTGGGGAGTTTGATACATAAAGGCCAGGTTTGCGAAGCAAGATCCTACATGGTTCTGCTGAAGAATCTCAAAGGTTAATCGGACGATAACTGATCATCATCCATACACAAATACTCATCATGGCACCAACATCAACCAACGCCTGGTCCATCACCGGCATCGGCAAGGACAGCAGCAACTGGGATACCCTCGAGCTCAAGAAGGATGTGCCTCTGCCACAGCTGGGCGACTACGACGTCCTCGTGCAGATCGAGGCCGTCTCCCTAAACTTCCGCGATCTGGCCATCCCAAAGGTAAGTTCGCTTGTAACCCTTGTGCCCGGTGCCCGAATTACCTCCGGTCGACCGAGACACGCCGGCCCGCCACTCCCGCTAACGCCGCTCCTTTGCACCTAGGGCCTCTACCCATTCCCCGTCAGCTTCCCCCGCGTCCCGGCCTCTGACGGCGCCGGCCGCGTGGTCTCCGTTGGCCCCAAGGTCACGCAGGTCAAGGAGGGCGACAACATTGCGACCCTCTTCAACCAGCACCACCAATCCAACCCCATCACCCCTCTCGCCGTCAAATCCGGCCTCGGCGGTGCCCTCGACGGCACGCTCCGCCAATACGCCGTGTTCCCCGAGCACGGCGTCGTGAAGTCCCCCAAGACGCTCTCGTCCGTCGAGGCCGCCACGCTCCCGTGCGCGCCGCTGACGGCGTGGAACGCGTTGTACGGTCTGCAGTCCAAAGCCCTTAAGCCGGGCGACTACGTGCTGACGCAGGGCACCGGCGGCGTGAGCCTTTCGGCGATCCAGTTCGCCGTCGCAGCGGGTGCGACGGTCATCGCGACGACGTCGTCGGCGGCCAAGGGCGAGCAGCTCAAGAAGTTGGGAGCGCACCACGTCATCAACTACAAGGAGACGCCCAACTGGGGCGAGGTGGCCAAGTCGCTGACGCCGGAGAGCGTGGGCGTCGACCACATCATCGAGGTCGGCGGTCCGGGAACGGTTGCGCAGTCGCTCAAGGCTGTCAAGTTGGAGGGCGTGATTTCCATTATTGGGTTCTTGTCGCACGGGGACAAGCCCGAGGGGGAGCAGCCGACGCTACTGGACGCGCTGGCCAACATTTGCACGATCCGCGGGTTGTTTGTGGGCTCGAAGCAGCAGTTTGAGGAGATGAACCAGGCGATTGACGCAAACAAGATCAAGCCTGTTGTCGATCAGAAGATTTTCGGCTTCGAGGAGGTCAAGGAGGCGTACCAGTACCAGTGGGACCAGAAGCACTTTGGCAAGGTTGTCATCAAGATTTGAGGTTGCCGCGCAGTAGAATGCGCGAGAGAGCGTAGTGTAATGCAGTTATGACCGTCACGTATATTTGATGCTTGTGAAATCAAATGGTGAAAACTCCCTGTCGTTGCTATGTAGTACGACGGTTAACCAAAGTGGTTGACGATTTTTCAGACAACATGTTACACCTGCCATCACGAGACCAAGTGCATTTGTAGGACATTTCTTCATATAAGAGTGAAAGATGATCGCTCATTGACTGATAAACTCCCAAAACAAACCCCGAAACTCCATGCCTATTATATTGATGATCCCATTCCGGAGCTCCCACCCTCATTCCCGCTCAGAAACGTCCTCGATGCGACGATCAATCTTTTCCGTCCCATCGCTCTTGACAGCGCGTCCCTCTGGTAGGGCGCGTCCCGCGGAATCGTACTCGCGGCGCTCGAGGTAGACGGGCTCGCCTGTCTTGTAGGACGCTGTCCGGACGGTGGTGCCCGAGGGACTCCGCTCCGTCTTGCGGGCCCAGCGCCTCTCCTCCGTCTTGCCGTTGTGGCTGATTGAGGAGGAAAAGGAAATGGAGGATGTGAAAGAAAAGGGCATCTTGGTTGTTTTTGGTTTTCAATTCTCGATCCTTGGGACTGGATTCGGTTCGAGTACTCGGTATCTGGTTGTGATTTTCTTTCTTCTTTTCAGAACTGACGTGTGGTGGATGGGGTTGAAAGGACGTTCCGGGTATCCAGGTTCGAGAGGAGGCGGTTATGTAAGTACTGTGTACATGGCCTTAGCAGCAGGTGCACCTTCCTGATACCAAAATCTGAAAACAAGTTCAAACGTCAAAGTGCCTGCCGTGAGTGTGTGGTGAGTAGCCTGATGTCGACCACATTGCACAGGGCCTCCTTCCTTCTTCGGTCCTCCTTCCACCTCACTGGGCACTTACATCATTGCTCCGCACAAACCACACCGACGTCATCGCAATGCATCCCATCGTGCTTAGTCAGTGCGTTTTATGCATAATGCACAATTCAACTAACGAATTAATCCAACGTGCCTTACTTAAGCATTGCATATCTCGATATCACAGCAAACTCTCCATTGATTGACGAAGGAGCGAGTGCACAGAGTCTATAGCAATTGTTGGGTCATTTCTATCTGTACGCACCAATTTTGTCTCACAGGCCACAGGATGTTGGTTTTATCAACAGTAGTAGAGGGCACATCGCGATCTGAGGAGAAGACGGGGCTCTAAGCAGATGACCAAGACTTTGACACGAAGGCCAACAGACTGCCACAGATTTCATCATTTGCCTTACAGTATAGACATCATGTCCACTCACGCAGACTTGACCTCTAGAGATAGTATTCAATACGACGCATTTTCATAGATGCAACTAGCTCTTCATCTTAAACCTCGTCACAACAGCAGCATGATCCGAAGTCCACTCATTCCCCCCGTGCCCCGGCTCCGGCGCCGGCTCCCCCACCACAACCTCCTCCGACCCGAGAACCTCCAACTTCCCGCCCCGGAAATACACAAAATCAATTCTATCCATCGGCTCCGGCCTTCCCTCATTCTCCAAGAAGATAGGCGACCACGTAACCCCCGGCCTGGCCCCGGGGTCTGGCCACACAACCCGATAGGAATCAACCAACCCGGCCTCTGTCGGCGCAACTGACGTAGGCCACGGCATGTCCCCTTGAACGCAGTGCATCCCGCTCGTGGCATCAATCCAATCCAGATGCGAAGGCGCGTTGAAATCACCCACCAACATCACAGGCACCGCCTCCGCCTCCGCTAGCTGCCCCGCCATGGCCCGGACGACAGACTCGATCTGCGGCGTCCTTTTGGACTCCGTCTCCCGCGCCAGCACCTCCTCCACCGTCATGTTGTCGAAGCAGAAGTCGTAGGGTCCGTACGGGTCGTACCCCAAGTGCACATTCCACAACACAACCTCCTCCCCTTCACCATCGAGCACAACCCTCACCGACGCAGCATACGTCCCGCCCTCGTGCGCAGCGGCGTCCTTGAGCGGATACTTGCTCACGAACCCAACATCGCCGCCCTGCCACGAATACCACCCCAACGCATCCCCCAGCCGCGTAGCATGGCCTCCCGTGCTCTCCTGTACGCCGACGATATCTACGCCGCTCGAGGCCAGGAACCGCACTTGTTTGGCGTGGTAATCGGATACCTGCGTTCCGCCGTGCCACAAATTGAAAGACATGACGGATACCTCGTCCACGAGCGGTGCGCCGATGGGGCGGACGGGGATGGTGACGTCCAACCGCGCAGACGAGCCATCCCCAGCTGCTGCTGCTGCTGCTGCGACGGCTACCTCGATCGTGACGTGAGAGGGCCCCGCGACGTCAGGCGTGCCAGATACGACGCCCGCCTCCGAGACCTTGACCCATTCGCTCCCCTCGACTTTACGAAAGCTCACGGACGCACTCCCGCCACCGCTCCTCAACCCATCAACCCGCGCCTCGTACCCGTCCCCGACCCGCGCGTTCCTCAGCGTAACCTCGTCAAGGAGGAACTGAACCGGCCCGGAAGCATACGGCACCCTCACGTCCACCGGCGGCGCAAGCCACGCGTACCCGTCTTTGGCGAGGAAGTAGGCGCGGTACTCGCCAGGGACCAAACCCGACCCCGACCCGTTCTCAATCTTGAGCGTCCCGTTAGACTGCGGCGCATACCCCCAGGCCAGCGACGGCTCTACAAACGTCTGATTCTCGGGTCCGCCGCCGGAGGCGCGGTAGATGCCGATCCAGTTCTTTGCGTCGGCGTTTGGCGTGGAATAGGAAAACGTAAAGAGAGGGTTGTCGGGTAGGAAGGCTAGGCTTCCGGATTGGCGGGTTGTCGGGATGGCGAGGGCTGGTGTTGGGAATTGCGCTACAAAGAGCGCGGAGAGGATATACGAAATCAGTGCCGTGAAGCGCATCTTGGCAGATTTCTAGATGGATGGCCCGAAAACAATTTCATTGTTGTAAGTCAACGTGGGAATCCAGGGGAATTCATCACTTCTATACAGTAATGTCTTAACAATACATCAACGTCAATCCTTCAAGTCGGTGATGCAAAAGTTGTCAGCTTCGGCGGGGCGACCAATCCTTTGGTGGCACCGCACCACGAGAAGTAGCTACTTCGTTGTGTTCGTTTGCACACTGAAGGATCTCAACCCTCGGAAGTCCAGTGTCCTTGGCATGGTACTGTGGCCACATACAGGGTTGATCTGCGTAAGGAATGGGCATAGTCTCGCCCGGGTAGGCTCGCGTTTGGTAATGGTAACAGGGGTTTAAATCGGTGCCTGGTGACTTGCAGCAGCAGACTGAGACACACTTCCGAGAGAGACTCAGCGACCTTTTTGTAAATGATTTTTGATTCGTTACTATCATAGATGTTACCATAACATCATCATCTACAACATGCGCACTAGTCTCGCTCACCCGCTCCAAAGTGCGCACTCACTTCTCTCCATGAGCTGACAATCTGGTACCTGTGTCTCGCTTACTACTTCTCCAAGGCCGCCCTCTCCTTCTCCAGGTCAATGTCATCGTCGCCGATTTCGGTGCGGTGATCATCATCGCTCGAGCCGAGGTACTCCCCGAATACTCTCTGTTCAATGTCCATGTCTTTCCACGCGACACCAAGCTTCTTGCTGTTGCGGATCCTGAAGAAGACGCGTTTGCCCCATTTCCAGGATTCGACACCAGCGAAGAAAAGTCCTGCAGCAATGAACACAATGCCCCATTCCCACGTGATGCCCTTGTGCTTGAACACAACAGTATTGATGACGGGGATATACAGCAGGGGAAACAGGGTAACGAAGCCGATAATGATGGCCCAGAAGAGGAACCTGTTTCGCCAAACGTCAATCATCCACTGGGTGAAATATTTCTTGGATCCTGGTTGCATGCGGAAGAATGACCGACGCATATCGACCATCTCCCAGGCCAAGAACAAGGCAAACCATGTGAGGCAGGCAAAAGTGGTAGCACGGGCGCGGAAGACTGTGTCGCAAGAGTCATTGTATCTTTCGTTGCAGCTCTCTCCAAGATCGCCAGCCCCGAATCCGTAGACAACCAGCGAGAAGCTTGAAAGGCAGAGAGCGGTGATCCAGAGGCCGTAGAAGACCATGTCGACGAGGAACTCCATCGTGAAAATGCCCGTCTTGAGAGACTGAGGTGGGCGACGCATGATGTCTGGGACAGCACGCTCAAAGCCAAGTCCCATGTCGGGCATACCAGATGTGGCCATGATAATCCAGACGATTTCAACAGGAGCAAGCGGGAAGACCGACAGCCCGCGTGCGTCCTTGAAAGTGAGACCAACCAGCAATGTTCCAGCTTGGGCAATGTTTTCAGCAAGGACATGCAACACGAACTTTTGAATGTTGTCAAAGATACGACGGCCCTCTTCAATAGCGGCGACAATGGAGGCAAAGTTGTCGTCGGTCAGGACGATATCGGATGCATCCTTGGCCACGTCTGAACCCGACTGACCCATAGCAATGCCAACATCGGCACGGCGGAGGGAAGGGGAGTCGTTGACGCCGTCACCGGTCTATCCAAATTAGAAGACCATTACACAGATGGGGCGAAGGAATATCCACATACCATGGCACAGAATTTCTTGCGGCGGTGAAGAGCCTCAATCATTCGGACTTTGGTGCTTGGGGCGCATCTCGCAATGACGAGCGGCAGGACAGGAAGCTTGTCAACCTCGTCGTCACTCAATGCATCGAACGACGAAGCCGTCATGACCATGGCGTCTGAAACGTTCCTCGCGACGCGCTCCATGCGAGTGGGCAAAATGCCAACCTCAATGGCAATGGCCTTTGCGGTCTCAGGGTGGTCACCGGTGAGCATGTGGACCGAAATACCGGCCTCGTGGCACTGTCGAACAGCAGGAGCGGATTCGGGACGCGGGGGATCGTAGAGTCCCACGAGACCGCGGAATACAAGGTCACATTCGACCGAAGCACGCTCAACCTCATCGCCCTTGCTGGGTGTGCCCTCATAAGGCTTGCTCGCAAGTGCGAGAACGCGCAACCCGAGTCCCGCCAAAGCCTCCATGTTGCGAAGGATCTCCTCACGGAACTCAGGCGTGATGTCTACCAGTACGCCATCATCTCTGGGAGCGTACTTTGTGCAGATCTGAATCACTCTCTCAACAGCACCCTTGGTGTAGGCGAAATACTCGCTCGTGGCGTTGTTCTTCATGATGACGGACATGCGCTTGACATCCGAGTCGAATGGAAGCTCGGCAATCTCGCTCCACTCGGGGCTGTCACTGCCACTGACAAACTTGAGGCGATTCATGTCGAACCGAGAAGCAAAGACCTGGATGGCGATTTCGGTGGGATCGCCGCGGGCAAGCCATTGATCATCTTTCTTGTTGATGGTGGCGAGATTGGCCAGGGACGCCACGTAAAGGAACGCGGATAGGGCCGACTTGCTATTTTGCAACAGCTGGTCGGTCTTCATGATGGTGCCACAAGCGTCACCTCCCTTTTTAAAGTTGAGGTGTCTAGGAGACCGCTCGTCGTAGCGAACATCACCAGTGGTGGGGTCCATTGGTGACGATGTGTTTTCGACGGTGTACGTTCCCATAGCAGGCAACCAAGCACCGCGGGCTAGCATTTTGCCCTGCGTCAGGGTGCCGGTCTTGTCGGAGCAAATATCCGTAACTGCACCAAGAGCCTCGAGCGACTTGAGATTGCGCACAATGACATTGCGCTTCACCATGCGCTTGGTTCCGGCCGCCATAGTGATGGTGAGTACGACCACGAGACTGGCCGGGATCATGGACAGACCGGTCGCAACTGCGTAGATGATAACTTCCTGACTAGCCTCGAACTTGTTGGCGCCAAGAACAATGATGGCACAGACGATGGCGATGCCGAACAAGAGCATGGCGAGCTTGGAGAGTTTCTGTTGCAAAGGGGTGCCAACGTTGACACCAAGGAAACGTCCAATGGCATCGGTCAGAGTCAAGGTATAAGCCTCGAGGTACCGATGAGGCTTTGCCTTGCCATTGGGCTTGCGTTTGACCTCGCGGACCTTGGAATCCTTCTTGCGAAGGGCAGACGCAATAGCTCCAATCTCGGTGTAAACGCCTGTTGCGAAGACAATGCCCTTGGCACGACCCTTGGTGACATTGGACGAACTGTATGCGACGTTGAGACGGTCTCCGGGGCCGGTGTTATCGGGGAAAGTTGCGTCTTCGTTCTTTCGCACGGGGAGGGATTCGCCGGTCAACAGAGCCTCGTCGGTCTCGAAGTTGACCGCCTCGATCAGCCTGTAGCATCATCAGTTGCTCTGCTTGGTCTTGACGTTGCTGTTGATGGCATAGGATACCTGACATCTGCGGGGATTGTGTCACCCGTCTTGATCTCAACGAGGTCACCAGGGACGATTTCGCCGGAGGGAACAACCATGGATTCACCGTCACGAACGATGTTGGCGGTGGGGGAGCTGAGGGAACGGAGGGAATCCATTGTCTTCTCAGCGGAGTACTCCTGGAAGAAACCAACGATGACGTTGAGCAAGATGACAAAAGTAATGACACCGCCCTCAATGTATGAGCCAATGCCGAAACTAACGGCCATGGCAAGAATCAGGACCTAGGCACAGGTTAGCAAAGGGCGGACTTGGAGTAAAGGTGGGAAAGCAACTCACCATGGTCATGGCATTGGCAATCTGGGCGATGATGATCTTGATGGGCTGAACGCCCTCGGCTTCGCCAAGGTCATTATGGCCGAACTCGTCGAGACGGGACTTTGCGTCTTGAGCAGAGAGACCATTGAGGGTGTTGGCGCGGATCTCCTCAGCCAGCTGCTGGTATGACAAGGCATGGGCTGGGTGAGAGAGCGGTTTGTTGGATTGGCCCGAGACGTGATTCTCATCGGGCTTTGCGGCCTTTTGGTTCCCCATGCCAGGCAAAGGGGGACAGAGTGTGGGAGCTCAAAATAGGTGATGTGGGTGAGGGGGTAGAGTTGATGATACCAGAGAGAGTTGAGCTCTTGGAAGTTACAGCGATAAAAAGACGAGGGGGTTGATGAAGATTCCTAAAATGGGTCGAGTTGGACAAACTGGACGAATTCAGCAAGGACTGGTCAAGGTGGCAACACAGAGGCAGGTCGTCAATTGAGGTGTCATTGGATGGCTTGCAGCGTTCGTTGTTGGTGAGAACGAGACGTCAAGAGGCAGAGACCGGGAAGGGGGCATCGTTCTGCTTTTTGAGGGCAGGAGGGAGGGCGAAAGGCAGCATCGCCAAGAACAATTGGAATCCATGGAGTGCGGCAACGGCAAGAACGGTACCGGTATCGTGGCAGTTGAGGAACAACAAGGAAAGACTGCCCTGGAGGGGGGCACAGTACCTAAGGTACGCGGACAGAACATGGATGTAAGGCAAGTACCCCATACTGGAAGGTACAGATGGTGACGGTGACAGGAATTGTGTCTCCGAAGATTTTCTTACTGGTGCAGAAGTCGGCGAGTGTATCCATCCATCAAGCATTAGATCACGCTTGGCCATCTTGGCTGACCTTGGCGGAGGCGGGCCCTCGTGCTGTGTGCAGCATTATCTGGGGATATACCGGATATTCGTGTTATGTCTTTTTTTTTTTCCTTTCTGGCAGGGAAGGTCGCACGCATTCAGACATGGGAAAGTGCACGATTGGAACGATTACGTCAGATGCCAAGTCCGCTCGAATTTGTAGGGAAAGCACGGCGGGAACTTGGGGCCATTGCACATGGTGCTGGTGACGGTGCAAAGGGAGGAAAGAAGAAAGACACGCCGGAAAGGAGCGGAGGCGGGCGGGCGTGGGGAGGGGCAAGTGCGACCCCCGGGGGAAAGCACGGAAAGCAACGACTGTGGGAGAGGGGTGGTCTTTCCCTCCGTGCCTCCCCCCATCGTGGTTGGGGCGCAGCCGGCGATGACGGCGATGGCGCCGGTGGCGCGTCTTGGGAACCCCTCCAGGGCCTCCACGAGCCTGGGCAGCATCGGTCTACAGACTACCGCCTACCTACTAGACACTAAAGGCCCTTAGGCACCTTAGATATCCGTACGGATACTAACGGTTCTGGAAGCCTTCCATTCCATACTACCTACCTAGTGGCTCGCTTTGGAATCACAATGGACCAAGGTTCAAACGGCCTTCTCCCCGGTATACCACCGAGGTCGTGTCCGCGGCGGATATCCCACACTATCAACGTCCATCACCATACCCAGAATTCCTCCACAGTTCCACAGTCTGGGGCTCTTGGGAGTCTTGGCTGCCAGGACATGTGTGCCAGCCACCGCTTCTGAGTGGACAATGCCGTCCAGCCAAGCTCGCTTCATCAACCCATCCAGCCATCTTCTACCCCGTCGCACAGCATCAGCATGGCCCCTCCTACCTCAGGCTTCTTACCTTACAGGCAACGTACAAACCATCATCACGGCACATCCGAGACGAAATCAAATCACCCTTATCGTAACGTTGGGAATAGCCAAGATTCTTCCATGCCAACTCCGGAGTTTCACAGACAGACCGCCCATTCTCCAGCAGCAAATAAGCCCGAGTCATTCCGACTTGGCGACCCAACCAATACTCACTCCATCCTACCTTGTTTGGAGACCTGCTGCACCATGGCCTTCACAGCCTCAGTGATGCACGACATAAGACGACCATTTCTTCCATACATACATACAGTACATACAGTAGTTTCCCAAATAGGTATCAAGCTCGTGTGATCAGCTTCCGCGTCCAGTGATGCCAAATTGATGCCCCCGCGCGTCCGGAGATGTGGGTCCCGTCTTCCACAGTCATTGGCACGGCCCCTCCGTGCCCCGCTCCGGAGATATCGTTGAAACCGAGCTGCGTGCCGTTAGTAGACCTGTCAATCAGTCGCTCAACCCCAACAAGTCTCGAGATACTCTCACGTGACGGCTCTCAAAGGGTAAGCCACCAGAAAACACAAATGCCAAGCGCGTCCTGGGTTCCTCGGCAGATGGTCAATGTGCTAAACACAATGAAGCTGCTCGAACACCATGGTGCAAACTCCCTTCGTCAGCATCTGGAGGATATCGCTATGCAAAGTCTTCCACAATCTGCTGTCAAGCCTACCTTCTATGATGGGTTTCGTAATGAAGTATTTCTCGCCATAGTGCTGCCTGCATCGACAGCGTCCATGAGCAAGTGCTCCAAATTACTTGGAAGACGATAGAGGAGTTCAGGAGTTGCGTCCATTAGCCAGATCCTGCAAGGCGTTTTTCTATTCGAGAAAATGCTTGAGTTGAAGGACGTTCCTTGTTCGGGAACTTGAATAAATATACACAATGCGCGTTGGAACACACAGCTTCTATTTTCGGCACCCACATCGATGCGGGAGTCCGAATTATATCTCTAGGGCCGGTCGAAGTCAACGTCGTCCCACTCTTGATTTCTGGGTGTTTGAAAATTCGAATGACTCTAAAGACGATCGAGTTGGCAATGATAAAGATTATGACATCGCCACCAACCTGATATTTTTGAAATGACCTGGTAACGTTCAGTTTCAGCTGTAGCCTTTGGGAGGAGTATATGGACTTCATGCAGGTTCTTGAACAAGCCGGAAGCCTCAAAGTTTGAACAAAAGGTGCGCGTAAAAACTAAGAACCCGTGTTAATACACCGCTATGACTTCATGAAGTGGTGTGATGTAGGCATAGCTTCAACAGTGCCATGGTGATTCTATCATTGGAGATTTCTCTCCGTTCTGTTACTGGGCAGATGACTACTTCAAGGTTGTATTGTCACGCTTTTGAATACTTCAAATAATGCTCTATGTTGATGAAGTGGAGGGAATCTCTGATGAATCGTGGCAGCGTCGCCACTTTTGAATACCTACTTGTGCCTCAAACAATCCCTTTCCTCCATTTTGATGACATGATCTTGTTTTGCCTGAAAATGCAAGCATATGACTCGTTGTGCCATCGTGTCGCTGCCTTCTTGTTGTAGCTCAAACACCCTGTTCACTTGCTTTCACGAGCAGCGAGCATTGCTGCAATACCAGCATGTCCTCCAGTTAACACGATACCGTACTATCCCCCCACTCCTCTTGCCAGCGATGTGAACTTGCATCATTAAATATGAGCTGCAACATACGGGTCTACACTAGGCCTTCAAATGAACAGCTACGAGGGAGAGTTTCGAGTATACAAGCGCGTAAAAGCGCGTAAAAGCGACAGACAATTTTGAGTGCAGCACGTCAATTCACAAATGTTTCTGTCATAAAGACGGTTCACTTCGTGTCATCAGCCACCGCCCCACGCGTTGGTTTTCTTCTTCTTGGGGTAAGACCCCTAAATACACCAAGAACAATCACGGGACCAAACTCTCCGCGGGGGTTGGAGATTAATCCGTGGTGCGCTTGGAGTCCAGAGGATGGGGCTCCTTGGCAACGTGAGAACACACGGAAAATAAGAAGTTGACTAAATCCACGTATCTGACCAACTACCGGCAGACACCCATGCTCGAGTCTATAACAGGACCAATGGGAAATTTTCCAAGTAGTTTGCACCTATCAAAACTCCGTCTGCCGGACCCGGGATTCGATGTAACATGCCTAGGTAGGGCGGAGAGACAGCCCAGGTAGCCAAGATGACCTCGTTCGCGCTCTTCGAATTGAAGAATAAATAGGGCGCAGCTGCGACTGTAACTCGTCTCTGTTGAGATTGTCAACCTGCGGCGTCGGCGTCTATTACCTTTGAGATTTGCCTTGGCAACCGGTGTTCCACCTCTCAAACAACTTGTACCAGCTGAGAGACTTGACAAGAGCTTTACAATTCACAATGACGCCAACATGGAAGGGTCTTCTCGGTGGCCTGCTCACTGTCCTATCAGCCGTTCCGAGCGTCTCCGCAGCGTACCCGAATCCAGGTCCCGTCTCCGGCAGCATCAATGTCCACGACCCGTCCGTCCTTAAGACGTCAAGTGGCACATACCTCATGGCCCACACGGGAACTAACATCGCTCTCAAGACGTCCACCGACCGCACCGTATGGCGTGATGCCGGCGCTGCCTTCCCCAACGGCGCCTCATGGACAACCGCTTACACGGGCGGAGACACCAACCTCTGGGCCCCAGACATCTCCTACCGCAACGGGCAGTACTACATGTACTACTCGGCGTCCACTTTCGGCTCCCAAAAGTCCGCCATCTTCCTCGCCACGAGCTCCACCGGCGCCTCCGGCTCGTGGACGAACCAGGGTCTCGTCATTGAATCTTCAAGCTCCGTCGACTACAACGCCATCGACCCCAACCTCATCGTCGACGCCAGCGGCAACTGGTGGCTATCGTTTGGCTCCTTCTGGACGGGCATCAAGATGATCTCCATCAACCCCAGCACCGGCAAGCGCTCCGGTACCAACCTCGTCTCTCTTGCCCGCCGCACCGTCAACGACGGCGCCATTGAAGCGCCCTTTATCACGCGCCGCGGGAGTTACTACTACCTGTGGGTGTCGTTCGACTTCTGCTGCAAGGGCGCCTCGAGCACCTACCGCACCATGGTCGGCCGGTCTACCAGCGTGACGGGCCCATTTACCGATCGTAACGGAGTGAGCATGTTGAATGGCGGCGGTACTGAGGTGATGGCTACTCACGGCTCCATCTATGGGCCTGGTCACCCATCTGTGTTTACGGACGCGGACGCTGATGTGTTTGTGTACCATTACTACAACAGCGCCAATGCTGCACTGTTGGGTATTAACCTTATTCGGTGGGAGTCGGACTGGCCAGTTATCTACTGATTGAGACTATTTTTCGGCAGCGTAGGCTCCTCTCAGTGAGGATCTCCTTTTTGTCAGATCAGTACACTTATCATCTCATGTGCCCACTGGCGTCTCTGTGTTTTCTCGGAGTGATGCTTGAATGACTGAGCCTCTGAATGATGTTGTGACTTGTAGACAACCCAGCAGTATACGCGAGCTCAATAAAGGTGTCGAAAAGCAACACTCAACACGAATAATAACAATGGTGGCAAACCACATGTCAATGATATCAGTTTGGTGGTAGATCCGACTAATCTAGATCAGTGGACGTGTTGGCCATATGCAGATATTTGACACAGTTGCCTGATCTTCTCAATGATAATGCACGTACTTCATCATTGATAGCTGAGAAGGAAAGCCCGCCCTAGGAAACGAATGACCACGAGTGATGAACCCAATTATACACCTCTAGTACCTCTACATTGATCGACCAGCCTCCTTAAATATCCCACTGACATAATCTAAAAATTTAGTTTGAGTGGATACTGATGTTCAAAGTTTCATTTCATCTTTCAACGTCCAGCAATAAACTCTAGTCATCGGATAAAGATGGAAAGTTGCGTCTTTTACAACACCACAGCATCGAACTCACAGATACCCATGAACAAACAATGTATATTGCCTCACAAATCACAAACCACCTACGACATCGTTGTCAAGAAACCTGGCGAGCTACGCAGTAAGGTTCGGGAACCAATCGGGACTGTGATTTGCCGCCTTTAAGGCTGACAAGCATGTGACATCGTGGCCCCCCAAGGTCGCCCCTATGATGACCCCCATGTCGCCAAATTAACACTTAACTTACTCCGAGATGAGAATCCAAGTTCACAAGAACGACTCCATGTTGACATCCAATGATTTGACCCCAGGATTATTCTTGCTACTGCAATTTTCGCACTTCGCCGGAGTTGATGTCGCTCGAGCAGGCAGGCCACTTGCGATGCCGGTTGAGTTATCTGGATGCAGGGCGTAAGCATCAACAGCAGGGGTTGGTATTATGTGAGATTAAGAGCTGAGAAGTGAAGAGGCACAGAGGGCCTGCTACGACTCTACGAGGTGATGTGTACCGGTATTGGAACCATCCGTGCGGATACTCTTACTCGCCTCGCCCATCATCCATGCTAGCGCCATTGCTTTCCGCTTCCACCATCAAATGTCGCTAAACGCTCAAGTACGAATGCTAGGTACTGACCAATAACCGAATCTTTTGCTCCAGCTCAACAGGTCCTGTTGCTCGTTCCTGCGCCC